GCCTTGAATAAAGAGATTCATGGATTGCACACCAGGTGTGCAAACCGATCCAAGCAAACCTAATTATATATTATATATCATATACATCATATATACCATACATACCATATATATCATATATAATACACAACATAACATACAGCATAATATATAACATAATATACAACATAACACAATACATTATTGTATGATATATAACATAATATATAACATAATACAGCATACATATATAATATATACACCATATATTATATATTACCTAATTATATGCTAAATTAAAGTAAAGTGCTTTAAGCCTGGCCTTGAATGTGGAGACAGTATCTGCTTCCTTAACATAAATGGGAAGCTGATTCCACAGTAAAGGAGCTTGGAGCTAAATGCTCTGCCACCAACAGTGATTTTTGAGACCTTAGGGACCACCAGACGTCTGGCGTTTTGTGAGCGCAACGCTCGACCTGGTTGATACGACACTAACGTGTCTTGGAGATAAGAAGGAGCCAAGCCATTTATGGCTTTATATGTTAAGAGAAGGATTTTAAACTTTATTCTGTACTCCACAGGAGCCAGTGGAGTGATTTTAACACCGGACTTATGTGCTCCCTCCTTTTGGTACCTGTTAAGATCCTAGCTGCTGTATTCTGAACGAGCTGGAAGCTCTTCAAAGAGGCTTTAGGGCACGCTGCCAGTAAAGCGTTACAGTAGTCGAGCCTTGAGGTGACAAACGCGTGAATGAGTTTTTCCGCGTCACTTTTAGGAAGGAAATTCCTAATTTTAGCGATGTTCCGTAAGTGGAAGTACGCCGTTTTAGTTGCTTGGCTTATATATGCCTTGAAGGAGAGCTCTTGGTCAAAAATGACTCCAAGATTCCTCACAGTGTTACTGGGTATAATACTGACATTATCAGAGTAATTATCTGGTTAGTGAGGGAGTCACGCAGGCGCTTCGGACCGAGTAGGATCACTTCTGTCTTCTCCGGGTTGAGAAGTAGGAAGTTAAGAGTCATCCACATTTTAAGGTCCTTTATGCAGGCACTGAGCTTTTCTAGCTGATCTGTCTGATTTGGCTTCATCGACAGATAAAGCTGTGTGTCATCTGCATAGCAGTGGAAATTAATTCCATGCTTTTTAATAATGTTTCCCAGTGGCAGCATGTAGAGAGTAAAAAGAATCGGTCCAAGTACCAAACCCTGCGGCACACCGAATTCTACTCCAGAATAAGGCGACGAGTCCTGATTCACATTGACGAAGTGATATCGATCTGATAAATAGGATTTAAACCAGCCAAGGGCTGTTCCTCTAAGACCTATATCACATTCTAGCCTCTGCAGTAGAATGCTGTGGTCTATTGTGTCAAATGCAGCACTAAGGTCCAGTAGGACCAGCACTGACACTTGTCCATTATCAGCAGCTAGTAGTAAGTCATTTATGACTTTGACTAGTGCCGTTTCAGTCTATGATGAGCTCTGAATCCTGATTGAAAGACTTCAAACATATTATTTTCCTGCAGGTGGCAGCGAAGCTGCTCAGCTATAAGTTTTTCCAGGATTTTAGATATAAAAGTGAGGTTTGAGATCGGTCTGTTGTTTGTAAGTATTTCTGGGTCCAGGTTTGTTTTCTTCAGAAGGGGTTTGATTACCGCGGTTTTAAAAGCTTGTGGGACATAGCCACATTGTATGGATGCGTTTATTATATTTACGATAGGCTCAATTATCAAAGGAAGTATGTCTTTGAAGAGCCATGTCGGGACTGCGTCTAACATGCAAGTTGAGGCTTTTGAGGATGTGACCACAGAGATCACCTCTGCTTGGCTCACAGCCATGAATTTATCGAGGCCCACTGAAGAGTCTAAGTGGGAAGTCACGTATGCCGCTTCAACCTGTCCACCACTAACAGCAGGAGCAACCTCCTCCAGCTTGTCACGGATGGATGTCATTTTATTATTAAAGAAGTGGAGAAAGTCGACACTGCTCAGTGAGCTTGGAATTTTAGGCTCGATTGCGCTATGGCAGTTTGTGAGTTTAGCGACGGTGCTAAACAAAAATCTACTGTTATTTTAATTGGCTTCTATTAAAGTTGAATAGTATTGAGTTCGAGCCCTGCGAAGGGCATTCTTATAGTTTCGGAGACCTGCTTTCCACTCCCTGTGGACAGGCTCCGAGTGGGAGTGGCGATATAGCCTCTCCAATTTTCTGACGTCCTGTTTTAAAGTGTGGAGTTGAACACTGTACCAGGGCGACGATGATCTAATCCTAATAGTTTTCTGTTTTAAAGGAGCTGCTGCATTTAATGCAGATTTTAAAGACTCCATAGTGTTGTCCACCGTTTGGTCAATGACTGAGGGACTGCAGCTGCTGTGAACAGGTTCACCTGCAGCAGTATTCAACAAGGCTGTATTAGTTCTTTGAACCTTGTGATAGATTTATCATTTAAGGTTCTTTTCATTATGGTTTTATCTTGCGGGACAGGAAAGTCCTCCAAATCGAGATCAAACGTGATCAAGAAATGGTCAGACAGCAACGAGCTTTGACGCTGGATGTCAACATTGGAGACATCACAGCCGTAGGTCAGGACAAGGTCCAAGGTGTGGTTATGAATGTGAGTAGGTTCCTCGACATTCTGAGTAAAACCAACACCATCTAGTACGGCGCTGAAAGCTTTGTTTAAGCTGTCAATGCTGTCGTCCACATGTATATTGAAGTCTCCAGCTATAACTATGTTTTCCCATTCCAAAACTAGGTTTGAAATGAAGTCAGAGAATTCTGTTAGGAACTCGCTGTAAGGACCAGGAGGTCGGTATAAAACTATAAATAGCACCGCTTTTTGTTTTCTCCACCCAGGACAGGTGATTGAAAGCGTTAAGTTTTCAAACGAGTGAAAAGCGTTGTTGGTTTTGGGACTAAGAACCAAGTTGGTTTGTGATATAATCGCAACACCACCGCCGCGACCTGTAGCTCTGGCTTTCTGGTAGTTAACATGCGTCGGAGGAGTGCACTCATTCAATCTAACGTAGTCGTCCTGTTGGAGCCAAGTCTCCGAGAGCGCAAACAAATCCAAGCCCTTGTCTATAATAAGTTCGTTTATGAGAAGCGATTTAGACGAGATTGATCTGACGTTCATTAAACCACATTTAACAACCCTACCGCTAGAACTATTTCTGTCTGTCTGAACTTTTATTAAGTTACTGTGTCTGACACCTAGGTCAGATTTCCTCGCATATAGTGCTTTAGACTTCAAGCGGGGAACACACACAGTTTCAATCTGACTAGGTTCTGAGGCTAGTAACTGAGCAAACACAGGCACACACACACATGCACACACAGTTTCAATCTGACTAGCTTCTGAGGCTAGTAACTGAACAGATGGGGGCTCAGAGGTTGTGGCAGAGCAGCTCTGCACCCGGGCCTCAGTTCTGCATCGTCATTTGAGCCGAGCAGAACAGTTTAGAGCCAGGGCCAAATTCTTAGCCAAAAGGGATGTACCCGCCAACGTTGGGTGGATATCATCCGAGCGGATGAGACCGGGCTTTCCCTAAAAGGCACTCCAATTGTCAACATGAACAACACCACTTCGAGGGCACCAGCCAGACAGCCAGCGGTTGAAAGCCGAGTGTCTGCTGAATGCTTCTGCACTGCTAGTGCTAGGTAGGGGCCCAGAGAAGATGACAGTGTCGGCCATTGTGCTAGCCAGCTTGCACACCGCGGCGACTTGCAGCTTCAACACCTCGGACTGTTTCCGCCGAACGTCATTACCACCCGCGTGAATAACAATTTGACGGAAACGCTGCTTGTGGGTCATCATGAGCCTCAGATTCCCTTCAATATCACCAAGCCTGGCCCCAGGGAAGCACCGAACAGTGGCTCCTGGGATCTTAACACCTCTAACAATAGAGGAGCCAATTACCAGCGCATCAGCGACTCCATCGGCTCTCTCAGCAGCTCTCTCAGCGGCTCTCTCAGCGGCTCTCTCAGCAGCTCTCTCAGCGGCTCTCTCAGTGGGGCCTTCTTCCCCGCCCAGAGCGTCCCAGCGATTGTAAATGCTAACAGGAGGAGGCCCAATGGGGAAACTACCAACAACACGTCGCCCTCTCCGAACAGTCACAAAGCCATCACTATCCTGGTCTTGTCCCAGCTGCGGAGGACGGGCTGGGAGGCTAGGCTCGCTACTCACTACTCACTCTAACTCACTGACCCTGGATTCCAGAGCTACGACTACACTACACTTCACACATCTATCACTACCCTCAGAGAAGGATCCAGGGTTTAGACTCGCCATATGGCAACTCGAGCAGTAAAGGATTGAGGGAGAGACAGCAGCCGCCATAGGAGTAGCGAGTTAGTGGCTAGGCTAGGCTAAGCTAGTACGGATCCGGGCCCGCACAACAGACTCCGAGACCAGACAAACAACCGCTACCTAAACCTCAGCTGCAGTACAGCTGACTCGGAGTGCTTACACAGTTAGCTTGGTGTACAATACGTGGATTTGTAATGTGTTTGTTAGTGCAAACAGAGAGCAGAGTGATAGTAGTCAAGAAACACGCTCACCGGATACAGGAAGTGCCAGATCCCAGAATAATAAAATGTGAAGTGTCTTTGAGTGTCCAAAAAATCACTATATTAAATCAATGCATTATAATCCATTTTAAATTCCAGAATCCAGTCAATCCAGTTTTTAAACCCAGGTTTTCGGCCCCAGGTCAAGTCTGATGAATCCTTACTGAAAAGTTTGGACACCCCTGCTCTAAGTGTAAAGGAATCATTGGCACAGTGGCATTTGACCCGCACAACGCCTTCCCCTTTTTATTATGGTTGAAATCCTGCGACAAAAGGAGCTGCAGTGAACTGTAGAGACGCTTGTGAAGCATTTTGACCTGAAACAGTCTGTGATGTTTTCAGAGTTAAACAGCCCCTTCCAGCCATGTTTGTCATTCTCACTTTATGAAATTCAAAATGAGATTTTTTTTTTCATTCTTATGATCCTGCCACAAAATGGGGATATGTTTTATTAAAATGTCCGAAAACAAAACAGCCAGCAGCCAAATCTGTTTACTCTCAAACAGCTGCTGCGGAGAATGACCCCACCCACCCTCTGATGATCCCACCCACCCTCTGATGACCCCACCCACCCTCTGATGACCCCACCCACCCTCTGATGATCCCACCCACCCTCTGATGACCCCACCCACCCTCTGATGACCCCACCCACCCTCTGATGTTCCCACCCACCCTCTGATGATCCCACCCACCCTCTGATGATCCCACCCACCCTCTGATGACCCCACCCACCCTCTGATGACCCCACCCACCCTCTGATGATCCCACCTACCCTCTGATGACCCCACCCACCCTCTGATGATCCCACCCACCCTCTGATGTTCCCACCCACCCTCTGATGATCCCACCTACCCTCTGATGATCCCACCCACCCTCTGATGACCCCACCCACCCTCTGATGACCCCACCCACCCTCTGATGTTCCCACCCACCCTCTGATGATCCCACCCACCCTCTGATGATCCCACCCACCCTCTGATGATCCCACCCTCCCTCTGATGACCCCACCCACCCTCTGATGACCCTTCTGATGATCCCACCCACTCTTTGATGACCCCACCCACCCTCTGATGTTCCCACCCACCCTCTGATGACCCCACCCACCCTCTGATGACCCCACCCACCCTCTGATGATCCCACCCACCCTCTGATGATCCCACCCACCCTCTGATGACCCCACCCACCCTCTGATGTTCCCACCCACCCTCTGATGACCCCACCCACCCTCTGATGACCCCACCCACCCTCTGATGATCCCACCTACCCTCTGATGACCCCACCCCCCCTCTGATGATCCCACCCACCCTCTGATGACCCCACCCACCCTCTGATGACCCCACCCACCCTCTGATGATCCCACCTACCCTCTGATGACCCCACCCACCCTCTGATGACCCCACCCACCCTCTGATGACCCCACCCCACCCTCTGATGACCCCACCCCCCCTCTGATGATCCCACCCACCCTCTGATGACCCCACCCACCCTCTGATGATCCCACCCCCCCTCTGATGATCCCACCCACCCTCTGATGACCCCACCCACCCTCTGATGATCCCACCCTCCCTCTGATGACCCCACCCACCCTCGGATGACCCTTCTGATGATCCCACCCACTCTTTGATGACCCCACCCACCCTCTGATGTTCCCATCCACCCTCTGATGTTCCCACCCACCCTCTGATGACCCTTCTGATGATCCCACCCCCCCTCTGATGATCCCACCCACCCTCTGATGTTCCCACCCACCCTCTGATGATCCCACCCACCCTCTGATGTTCCCACCCACCCTCTGATGACCCCACCCACCCTCTGATGACCCCACCCACCCTCTGATGATCCCACCCACCCTCTGATGATCCCACCCACCCTCTGATGACCCCACCCACCCTCTGATGTTCCCACCCACCCTCTGATGACCCCACCCACCCTCTGATGACCCCACCCACCCTCTGATGATCCCACCTACCCTCTGATGACCCCACCCACCCTCTGATGATCCCACCCACCCTCTGATGACCCCACCCCCCCTCTGATGATCCCACCCACCCTCTGATGACCCCACCCACCCTCTGATGATCCCACCCTCCCTCTGATGACCCCACCCACCCTCGGATGACCCTTCTGATGATCCCACCCACTCTTTGATGACCCCACCCACCCTCTGATGTTCCCACCCACCCTCTGATGACCCCACCCACCCTCTGATGACCCCACCCACCCTCTGATGATCCCACCCACCCTCTGATGATCCCACCCACCCTCTGATGACCCCACCCACCCTCTGATGTTCCCACCCACCCTCTGATGACCCCACCCACCCTCTGATGACCCCACCCACCCTCTGATGATCCCACCTACCCTCTGATGACCCCACCCACCCTCTGATGATCCCACCCACCCTCTGATGACCCCACCCACCCTCTGATGACCCCACCCACCCTCTGATGATCCCACCTACCCTCTGATGACCCCACCCACCCTCTGATGACCCCACCCACCCTCTGATGACCCCACCCACCCTCTGATGACCCCACCCCCCCTCTGATGATCCCACCCACCCTCTGATGATCCCACCCTCCCTCTGATGACCCCACCCACCCTCGGATGACCCTTCTGATGATCCCACCCACTCTTTGATGATCCCACCCTCCCTCTGATGATCCCACCCTCTGATGATCCCACCCACCCTCTGATGATCATACCTACCCTCTGATGATCCCTCTGATGTTCCCACCCACCCTCTGATGATCCCATCCACCCTCTGATGATCCCACCCACCCTCTGATGATCCCACCCACTCTTTGATGATCCCACCCTCCCTCTGATGATCCCACCCTCTGATGATCCCACCCACCCTCTGATGATCCCACCCACCCTCTGATGATCCCTCTGATGTTCCCACCCACCCTCTGATGATCCCTCTGATGTTCCCACCCACCCTCTGATGATCCCACCCTCCCTCTGATGATCCCACCTACCCTCTGATGACCCCACCCACCCTCTGATGATCCCACCCACCCTCTGATGACCCCACCCACCCTCTGATGACCCCACCCACCCTCTGATGATCCCACCTACCCTCTGATGACCCCACCCACCCTCTGATGATCCCACCCACCCTCTGATGACCCCACCCACCCTCTGATGACCCCACCCTCCCTCTGATGATCCCACCTACCCTCTGATGACCCCACCCACCCTCTGATGATCCCACCCACCCTCTGATGACCCCACCCACCCTCTGATGACCCCACCCACCCTCTGATGATCCCACCCACCCTCTGATGTTCCCACCCACCCTCTGATGATCCCACCTACCCTCTGATGACCCCACCCACCCTCTGATGATCCCACCCACCCTCTGATGACCCCACCCACCCTCTGATGTTCCCACCCACCCTCTGATGTTCCCACCCACCCTCTGATGTTCCCACCCACCCTCTGATGACCCCACCCACCCTCTGATGACCCCACCCACCCTCTGATGACCCCCACCCACCCTCTGATGATCCCACCCACCCTCTGATGTTCCCACCCACCCTCTGATGACCCCACCCACCCTCTGATGATCCCACCCACCCTCTGATGACCCCACCCACCCTCTGATGATCCCACCCTCCCTCTGATGACCCCACCCACCCTCTGATGATCCCACCTACCCTCTGATGACCCCACCCACCCTCTGATGTTCCCACCCACCCTCTGATGATCCCACCCACCCTCTGATGATCCCACCTACCCTCTGATGACCCCACCCACCCTCTGATGATCCCACCCACCCTCTGATGACCCCACCCACCCTCTGATGACCCCACCCACCCTCTGATGATCCCACCCACCCTCTGATGACCCCACCCACCCTCTGATGTTCCCACCCACCCTCTGATGACCCCACCCACCCTCTGATGACCCCACCCACCCTCTGATGATCCCACCTACCCTCTGATGACCCCACCCACCCTCTGATGATCCCACCCACCCTCTGATGACCCCACCCACCCTCTGATGACCCCACCCACCCTCTGATGATCCCACCTACCCTCTGATGACCCCACCCACCCTCTGATGATCCCACCCACCCTCTGATGTTCCCACCCACCCTCTGATGATCCCACCTACCCTCTGATGACCCCACCCACCCTCTGATGTTCCCACCCACCCTCTGATGATCCCACCTACACTCTGATGTTCCCACCCACCCTCTGATGATCCCACCCACCCTCTGATGACCCCACCTACCCTCTGATGACCCCACCCACTCTTTGATGATCCCATCCACCCTCTGATGACCCCACCCACCCTCTGATGATCCCACCCTCCCTCTGATGACCCCACCCACCCTCTGATGACCCCACCCACCCTCTGATGATCCCACCCACCCTCTGATGATCCCACCCACCCTCTGATGATCCCACCTACCCTCTGATGACCCCACCCACCCTCTGATGACCCCACCCACCCTCTGATGACCCCACCCACCCTCTGATGATCCCACCCTCCCTCTGATGACCCCACCCACCCTCGGATGACCCTTCTGATGACCCCACCCACCCTCGGATGACCCTTCTGATGACCCCACCCACTCTTTGATGATCCCATCCACCCTCTGATGACCCCACCCACCCTCTGATGACCCCACCCACCCTCGGATGACCCTTCTGATGACCCCACCCACCCTCTGATGATCCCACCCACTCTTTGATGATCCCACCCTCCCTCTGATGATCCCTCTGATGATCCCACCCACCCTCTGATGATCCCTCTGATGTTCCCACCCACCCTCTGATGATCCCTCTGATGTTCCCACCCACCCTCTGATGATCCCTCTGATGTTCCCACCCACCCTCTGATGATCCCACCCTCCCTCTGATGATCCCTCTGATGATCCCACCCACCCTCTGATGATCCCTCTGATGATCCCACCCACCCTCTGATGATCCCTCTGATGTTCCCACCCACCCTCTGATGATCCCTCTGATGTTCCCACCCACCCTCTGATGATCCCACCCTCTGATGATCCCACCCTCCCTCTGATGATCCCTCTGATGATCCCACCCTCTGATGATCCCACCCACTTGTAGGAGCCGTCTTTTGGCTGCAGACCCGTGACTTTGTCTGGACCCATGTACTGAGGACTGAGACCAATATAGTCTCTTTTATAAAACAAAACGATTTCAAAACTTTTTTCTTCTGGCTAAAACCTTGTCTGTAGGTTAGTGTTGTAGTATTTTCTGTTCAAGGACCTTGGACCAAATGAAACATCACAAAATGTCCCAAAACGACATAAAACTTGTATTTGCTTGTATTTTTGATGTTGCCATGTATCGGGTCAAACACAATATTGTTACAAGTTCTTATAAAGTACATTTAGCGCCTCCTTCTGGGATCATGTGTGAGGGATCTTGCGCTGTGCTAATCCTTGAATATTGAAGTTATTTCTTCTTAGGTAGAAAAACGTTTAACTATTTGGTAAAGCTGTTTTAATTGTTGTAGCCTGGACTTACCACACCACAGTACTCATTTCATTTGGACTGCGTTAACAGGTGGGAGGGGTTAACTCCGTTTGCAGATTGAAACGGTTGGATCTGAGTTAACTGTGACTTACTGTATGTAATGAGCCCGAGTGAGTTGTTAGCATTTAGCCTAGCTTTAGCATGTAGCCTAGCTTTACTTGACACTTGTCACTTTTGTTGCACATAATTATTGTCACTTTATTGTACATATATCCTGCATGTAACATGTTTGCAGATTTCCTCCTTTTGCACAATCTGAGTGTCTCTATCCATGCCAAATGTGACATGTACATTTCTCCTCTGTGAGATAAATAAAGCAAATCTTATCTTATCTTATCTTATCTTATCTTATCTTATCTTATCTTATCTTATCTTAGCCATCTCCTTTGCCGCTAACAGAGCCCGTGGGGAGTAGAACCACATTATCTTTGCTTCAATGACATTTACTAAACATTCCTCTTGCTCCGGCTTCAGTTTCTTGATATTTGGATTGAACCAGAACAGATTATTTTACTATCGCATTCTCCATGGTCCAGAGTTTACACATGGTAAGACCCAGACGTACATGTAGGAAATGACCATGGACCAGAGTTTACACATGGTAAGACCAGACGTACATGTAGGAAATGATCATGGACCAGAGTTTACACATGGTAAGACCAGACGTACATGTAGGAAATGACCATGGACCAGAGTTTACACATGGTAAGACCAGACGTACATGTAGGAAATGATCATGGACCAGAGTTTACACATGGTAAGACCCAGACGTACATGTAGGAAATGACCATGGACCAGAGTTTACACATGGTAAGACCAGACGTACATGTAGGAAATGACCATGGACCAGAGTTTACACATGGTAAGACCAGACGTCCATGTAGAAAATGACCATGGACCAGAGTTTACACATGGTAAGACCAGACGTACATGTAGGAAATGACCATGGACCAGAGTTTACACATGGTAAGACCAGACGTACATGTAGGAAATGATCATGGACCAGAGTTTACACATGGTAAGACCAGACGTACATGTAGAAAATGACCATGGACCAGAGTTTACACATGGTAAGACCCAGACGTACATGTAGGAAATGACCATGGACCAGAGTTTACACATGGTAAGACCAGACGTCCATGTAGAAAATGACCATGGACCAGAGTTTACACATGGTAAGACCAGACGTACATGTAGAAAATGACCATGGACCAGAGTTTACACATGGTAAGACCAGACGTCCATGTAGAAAATGACCATGGACCAGAGTTTACACATGGTAAGACCAGACGTACATGTAGAAAATGACCATGGACCAGAGTTTACACATGGTAAGACCCAGACGTACATGTAGGAAATGACCATGGACCAGAGTTTACACATGGTAAGACCAGACGTACATGTAGGAAATGACCATGGACCAGAGTTTACACATGGTAAGACCAGACGTACATGTAGAAAATGACCATGGACCAGAGTTTACACATGGTAAGACCCAGACGTACATGTAGGAAATGACCATGGACCAGAGTTTACACATGGTAAGACCAGACGTACATGTAGGAAATGACCATGGACCAGAGTTTACACATGGTAAGACCCAGACGTACATGTAGGAAATGATCATGGACCAGAGTTTACACATGGTAAGACCAGACGTACATGTAGAAAATGACCATGGACCAGAGTTTACACATGGTAAGACCAGACGTACATGTAGGAAATGACCATGGACCAGAGTTTACACATGGTAAGACCCAGACGTACATGTAGGAAATGATCATGGACCAGAGTTTACACATGGTAAGACCAGACGTACATGTAGAAAATGACCATGGACCAGAGTTTACACATGGTAAGACCAGACGTACATGTAGGAAATGACCATGGACCAGAGTTTACACATGGTACACATGGTAAGACCCAGACGTGACGTACATGTAGGAAATGACCATGGACCAGAGTTTACACATGGTAAGACCAGACGTACATGTAGGAAATGATCATGGACCAGAGTTAAGTAACTTGTAAGGAGTGACCATGGACCAGAGTTTAAACATGGTAAGACCAGACGTACATGTAGGAAAGGATCATGGTCCAGAGTTCTACACATAAAGACCCAGACGTAACATGTAGGAAATGTCCATGGTAATACACATGGTAAGACGTACATGTAGGGACGTACATGGTAGACCAGACGTACATGGAAATGATCATGGACCAGAGTTTACACATGGTAAGACCAGACGTACATGTAGGAAATGACCATGGACCGTGAGTTTACACAGGGTGAAGACCAATTTTAATACCCTGTGTGATGGTTTCTATCATGTGTATGAACTGGTGCTATACATTAAACTTTCCATGCTGGTTCAGTGCATATGACTTACCTTTGTGGAGAGCCTCCTGGAGGCTCCTCTGCGCTCTGGCTCAGCACCGCCCAACACCTCCTCTCTCCTGCAGAGGGACCTACACGCACCTCCAGGCCTCGCCAGGGGACACGTGTGATCCCTGCAACCAGAGAGGCAGACGTGAGAAGTCTGGCTCACCAAAAACAATTTTATAAAAGACGTTTTAATGTTACGCTCATTTTGCAGTAAGAACATCCGGAAACATACACATTATTCAGTTTCAATTCAATGTGATTTTTGTATCGCCCTAAATAACAAAGTCGTTATCCGGATGACTTTACTAAAACAGTTGAAATCGCCAAACAGGATTAAACTCAAGAAATGACAGAAGATTAATAACAACAGAGCCATCGGTCCAAAGGGGCAGAGACCAATGTCCATAAATCTGTTAAATGTCCCATAAATGTTTATGTTGAGTTTTAACAGAAGGCACAGCAGGCAAGTTTATTATATATAGCACCATTCATACACAAGGCAATTCAAAGTGTGAACAAAACAAGGAACTAGCATTAAAATCATCAAATTATCACAGAACATTAAACAGAAAAGATAGAAATATAAAATCCCTCAGTTGTATGCCTAAAGTTCTTAAACAGAACTGTCTTTAACCTGGTTTTTTAACATTGTCAGAGAGGAGGCATGTCTCCCATCTTCAGGAAGAATGTTCCAGATTTTAGCAGCATGAATCTGAACCCAGCAGACTCCCATGTTTAGTTCTGACTATGGGCACTAAACAGGCGGTCCAGTCCCTGTGCTCCTTCAAGCGTCCGGGCGCCTGGTATGATGGGACTACATGTCACTAATACCCAACCCACAAGCGGTTTTCCGTCGAATTGTTATTCACGGGGTGGTAATGACGTTCGCGGAGGAAACAGTCCGAGGTGTTGACGCTGCAAGTCGCCGCCGGTGTGCAAAGCTGGCTAGGCCACAATGGCCGACACTGTCATTCTTCCTCTGAGGCCCCTACTCGCACTAGCAGTAGCAGAAGCATTTCAGCAGGGACACTCGGCTTTCATAACCGCTGGCTGTCTGGCTGGTGCCCTCGAAGTGGTGTTGTTCTTGTTGACAATTGGTCTAGGAGGTGACGGTTGTAGTGCCTTTTGGGAGAAAGCCCGGTCTCATCCGCTGGATGATAATTCCCACCCAACGTTGGCGGGTACATCCCTTTTGGCGAAGATTTGGGACCTGGCTCTAAATTGTTCTGTCTCGGCTCAAATGACGATGCAGAACTGTAGGCGCCGGGTGACAGAGCTGCTCTGACACAACCTTCTGACGGGCCCCCATCCTGTTCAGTTACTAGACTCAGAGGGCTAGTCAGATTGAAACTGTGTGTGCATGTGTGGCTGTGTGCCTTTGTGGTGCTCAGTTATAGCTCAGAACCTAGTTCAGATTGAAACTGTGTGTGTTCCCGCTTGAAGTCTAAAGCACTATATGCCCCTAGGTCACAACATACAAAGTCATCTCAGATGTGGACAATTAACAAAAACCATTGTCATCTCAGAATCACCATCCCCACCACAGGTCAGAGAATCAACAGTTAAACAATGCGACGAATGACAGAATATAAAGCACACACAGAATAGAAAATGTTCCATACATGTTGTAGAATGCTAAAGTGTCCTGATCATCACCAATCCTTTCTGTTGGACACTAAACTGTCCAACAAGACCCTCCTGCATCGACAAGGAAAAACTCTTAAAAAACCCAGTGGGAAAAAGTGAGAAACCTTGGAGGAGAACTAGGGAAACCCACAGGGAGGGAGACCCATATGAGAAAGGGATCCGCTCCTCCGGACGGACAGACTAATGATCTAGGACCTAAGCTAGCTACAGAACGTGGACCAGTGGCGCTGAACGTGGACAGGGTCCGGTGCAGGACCGAAGCACTCCCAGGCGGGTCGGGCGGGGCAGTCCGCAGGTGTAGATTGGAAGAGGCCAGGGCTCAGCGATCCCGTCATCGTACCCATGAAACAGACAATGGGACACACGGGTGAATAGCAATGAACAAACGTACAGTCAGAAATCCTAAAAATGCTAAACAGATAAAGTAGGAAGGAGGAGAGGATGCGTCAAGTTACCATACTTCTCCAGCAAACTGACTCCTATGCAGCTTGACTAACACTCTGAGGAGTTTAACCTTCTCCGAGTCCTTACCTTCCTAGCCATATGCAAAAACTAAAGAGGACTGTTTTAAACCTAGCC